AGATGATCTCCAAGGTCCCTTCCAACTCTGTTATTTTATTCTATATACATATGTATGCATATATAGTTCTCAATTTAGGACCACAATTAAGCCCACTTGCGGCAGCATTTATAGTATTGTTTCAGTTGCTCCAATTTCACTTAGGAGTGAAAAAGGAGCGAGGGAACTCTGATAAGCATATTTCAGAATAATTTTTTTTAGAATAACAGTGTGGTTTTTCTTCCCATAGGACCCTCGTATTTTATTGATCTTGCAGTTTCAAAGAAAAGCCTCTTCGCAAAGGTAACCATAACAACTTTGTCCCTGCAATGTCAAATTGGAGTCTTTTAGTTCCCTGTTTAAGATAGAAATCCAGATTAAAGCACACCAAAACATATAGATGTCTGTATACTCCTTGAAAATAGCAAAGGGGAGCCTGTCAACTGTCTCAGAAATTAAATAAGACAATTGAAATGTCAAGGTTTAATGATTTAACAGCTAAATAGCTTGTGTAAAGATGTAAGGTGGATGATGCAATGATAGGATGATGCAATGATAGGAATAACTCAGCAGAGTCTGTGTCTGTGTCCCTTTAAGAGTAAGCAGGGACTGTATCCCTTTAAGAGTCTGAGTATAAAAGGGAAGTTTTTTGCTGGAGTCTTTCTCGTCTGTTTGATTGCTGTAATTACTGTGTACTGGAGTTTGCTGTTTCACCACGTGTATGTATCTTATTTCTAGTGTATATTTGTAGATATAGTGTAATATAAACCACCATTTAATACAAACCACTGTGTGTACTGCATTTACTCCTGGGTTACCTCAGCGCAATAAGACTGTGCATGCTCTGACATGAAACTAGAAAGGGCCATTTATGCTGGCTGGGGAATTCTGGGAGTTGAAGTCCACATATCTTCTAGCTGCCAAAATTGAGGAACTAAGTAATGGATTCCATCAAAGAACTGTTCTTACTGTTCGGATGTGTGTGTTTTTCTAATTTTTGGTAACATTTAAAAATCTGTATCACATAAGTCCCATTTAGTCTTCCAAAACACTGCTGTAGCTCTTGTCTGCCTCTCCATGACAAAGTTATAGAGAAGCAGATTCTGATAACCATTTGACAGTAAAACCAGTTTAGTGAAACTGCTGAGCTAAACAGTTGGCGAAGGCTGGATGTTTTCAGGAAGGGAGTGAATAGATATTGGTTCGGGATTATTTTATTGGGATTCCATTCTTGGACAAAGAGTTGGCTCAATGGTTTTACTGGGTCCATCTGACTCTTGAGTTTCCGGCCATATTCATCAGGAAGCTAGACAAGAATTTTATTGTCTTTTACCATCAGTAAAACAGGCTGAGTCAAAGGGCTGTCCTAGACCAGGGGTAGGCAACCTTGGCTCTTTTATGACTCGTGGACTTCAACTCCCAGAATTCCTGAGCCAGCCATGCTGAGGGGAAAGGGAGAGGTTTTCAAGCTGAGCCAGGCTGGCTCAGGAATTCTGGGAGTTGAAGTCCACAAATCATAAAAGAGCCAAGGTTGCCTACCCCTGTCCAAGACCAATGCAATAATACTGAGGAGATAACTGATGTTTCCCCCCCTTTTTAGAGGCTGGTGATCTTAGAGGCTGAAGAAGTTGGTTGTTCTCCAAAATCAAAGCCAGCGGGCCCAATGGAAGAAAGTCATGTTGGAGAGCAATGAAAATGCCACTTCTGTGGGTAAGGATGCTTCTTGCACAACTGTTGGAGGCTGAACTGATGAACTCCTGTTTATTCTTGCATGGTAGAGAGCAGTGCTTCTCAACTTTGACAACTTTAAGATGTGTGGATTTCAACTCCCAGAATTCCCTAGCCAGCAATGGGGAACTGTCAGAATTTCCCAGCCAGTGGGCTGTCAACCAGCATGCTAGCTGGGAATTCTGAAAGTCAAAGTCCGTGTATCTTAAACTTGTCAAGATTGAGAAACACTGATGTAGAGAGTCAGATGGAAAAAAGTGACTGGGGTAAAAATGCCCTGGATCCAGTGGTGGGATTCAGCCAGTTCGCACCACTTCGGCAGAACCAGTAGCTAATTTTTTGTTGCCCAGGCCCAGAATGGACTTCCGGAAGTGGCATCCACGCAGAGAACCGGTTGTTCACATATTTGAATCCCACCGCTGCCCGGATCTGTGTTGATGAACTTGGACTGACTGCTTCCAGTTTGAAAATTCCAGTACTGTACAGTTATACAAGAAGTAGACCGCAAACATGTTGAAATTAATTTGGGAGATAACCTAGATTTTTGTTGACAGAGAAAGTGGGAGGGAATATTAAAGATAAACTTTTAAGACTTTCTCCTTCCTTCCTTCCTTCCTTCCTTCCTTCCTTCCTTCCTTCCTTCCTTCCTTCCTTCCCTCCCTCCCTCCCTCCCTTCCCCTCCCTTCCCTTGCTTTTCCCTTTACTTCCCTTCCCTTGCTCTTTCCTTTCCTTTCCTTTCCTTTCCTTCTTTCCTTTCCTTTCCTTCTTTCTTTTCCTTTCCTTTCCTTTCTTTTCTTTTCCTTTCCTTCTTTTCTTTCCTTTCCTTCCCTTTCCTTTCCTTCCCATTCTCTTCCTTTCTTTCCTTTCCTTTCCTTCTTTCCTTTCCTTTCCTTTCCTTTCCTTTCCTTTCCCTTCCCATTCCTTTCTCTTCCCTTCCCATTCTCTTCCTTTTCTTCCCTTCCCTTTCCCTTCCCTTTCCCTCCCCATTCTCTTCCTTTCCTTCCCTTCCCTTCCCTTCCCTTTCCCTCCCCTTTCCCTTCCCATTCTCTTCCTTTCTTTCC